GGGAAAAAGCAACCTCAAAGGCTATGCTAGGACAAAAGGGAAGAGAAGGCTTTTTTCTGCCAGTCCAGAACTGAAGTAATTTGGTAAAGGGTTTTCAGTCTTGGAGAATGATAAATGTCTGAAATAGCAGTCACTGTGAAACAGCATCTATTACAAGTTGCTGCCAGGGCTTCAATCCAAAAAGTTTGTTCTTATGATGGATGTTTAACTGGTATATTTTCATCCTGCATTTCTCATAGGATAACTACATTGTGCCAGTGGACAATGATGATAACTATATTGAACCCACAGAAAGCAGCATGTCACTACCTACAAGATGTGAGTTTTGGTCATTCAAGCTAATAATTATTGCTTTGTTAGGAACAGCAGTGGAAAAATGGATCAAATTAATGTCTATTTCTAGGGTTCAAAGAGTGGAGGTGTAGCTATTAAAGAGAATGCAGCCTGCAAAAAGGCAATTGGTTGCTTTGGCCCATGACAAGGCCAAGGAAAATTATTTTTAACTTTATTGGAAGCCATGTTTAATTCCTGCCTCTCTCTCTCTCAGCTGTTTCAAAGTACAACCAGGAATGTGGTCTCCCTCCTCATCCAAGGGAGCCACAGCATTAAAATTCTGTTTGCTGAAGTGCCTCAAGAGAAAATCAAGCCTTTTTAGATTTCTCAGTAAATAAAGATGGGCTTTGATTTTTTTAATTTTTTTTACCTCACTATTTGAAGTATATTTAGCTGGAGAGTGAAATTATTACAGTCCAAAGGTGAAAAGTAAACAGAATAGTAAGTAGTTCTACTCTCTGACATTACTGACAGTATCAAACCTATTCAGCAAGGCAGGAACACTGAATAATGTTTCCTTTTTAAAATGAGAGCTGCCTTCTGCCTCCTGCCTCAGTTGATTTGTTCAAGGTCATACAAAAAGGCTATCGCTTGGACCTACTTAATATTTATTCTTATTGCATAAATGTTACATTGGTAGTTTTTAATGTGTGTGTATATATGTAGATAGACACACACATGCACAAGTATACATATGTATACAAATAACATACGTTTTTTAGCTCCTGTGAACAGACTTATGAAAACAACAAAGCCAGCCCCCTGTACTTCTCCAAAGCCTTCTCAGACTTCAGATATGCAAGGTATGTAGAGTTTGCATCACTGTTAAAATAAAATAATCAAAGACTGAGGAATATTAAATTATGCTTGGTGTAGTCACAACACAAACCATATGACATACTTCAGTAAAACAAAAATATGTTCCACTTTAGGTTTTTCTACGTCATAGCAGTTGTTTTGTCTAGCTTGAATAGTAAATCTGTTTTAAGCATGAATAAAACTAGAACAAGTCATTTGCCCCAAACCAATGTATTTTTAGTCTTCTGCTGTAGCTGAGAAACACAAATTGATCAATACAGCAAAAATTATAGGACACGGTATGTTAGCAATCCCATTTCAATATAGAAAACAAGATTCGATACTTTAAAATGACATCAAGATTGAACCTAAAAAAAATTCCACATAGGCTCATGTTCTTCATGTCCTGTGATAAGTGTTGCTGTTTAAGTTCTATAAAGAGCAATTTTTTTTGAAAAAGAGACAAAAGCAGAAGCAAATAAGAATCGTATTTTTTTTGTAAGTACAGATATACGTGCTTAATCTTTCTTAGCTGTGCTAACTCTGAGTTGTTTTGCATCCTTGCCATATCATTAATTGCTTGGAATGTAACCTTTGCAGACTGATCACACAGTTATTTAAAAGTCTTTGCATATTCATTAGCAATGTGTTTAGCTTCCAAATCATAAGCTACAAATCGTTTTTTTCTGAATGACTTAAGATTTTTTATTTACTTCTCAGACATTTTAAAATGCCCTTTTCAAACTCAGCCTTTTTGTAAATCAGTGTCGAGGAACAAGCAGCTTCTGACAGATGTTACTAAAAAAAATAAAACATCTCCCCCTGGTGGGAACTCAGACAGTTTTCAGCGCAATAGAAGTGAAGCGTGACACGAAATATGTTGAAATATAATTCGTTTTCACTGAAAAAACTGGACATAGATAAGTATGCTGGTGGTTTTGGCTTTTAGTATCTGTGAATTAAAATATGCTTATGGGACAGAGCTCAGGGATGGATGCTAGCCACGCAAATGAGCCAGCTTGTATTTATGATTCACCTGATCTCTTCTTCCCTGAGAGCCAAGGGAAGGCTAAATGCTACCACAGCTGTGATAAAACTTCTCTTCCAAACTGTCCCAGGTTTGCACAACACAAGCATTGATCTTGCTTGGGGGGAAGGGAGGAAGGAATTGGGGCGGCAAAGGTTGTGGTGTGTTTTCCAGAGGCAGAAGTACAACTAATGCAAATTCTGATCAGTTTTTCTGGTAACGTGTAGTATGTTTTTGCTAACCAAAGAACACGCTTTTTCCTCCCTGTCCTATAGAAGTCTACGAGGTTCCTGAAGAAGAGGTAAGGCCTTTCTGTAGTTTGACTCACATTGCCCTGAGGCAGGGAGCAAAAGTGATTCTAAGAAAAGATAATCAGTCTTTCAAAGGAGAAAAATGGGAACAAATCTCTGTCTGCACTTAAACCTTTCTGACGCTTCCTTCGTGGAAATGCTGGCAAACCTACTCAAAAGGTTTGCAGAACAGAGTAAATGAAGCGCTGAAGTTTCCCAGTCCTGTGTGACAGTGATCCAGTCTGGGGTCACTATTCCTAAGGGAGTGCTGTCTAGAAGCAGAACTGCAGCAAAGGAGCAGTGACAGCTCTGAAACAGTAATTTTCTTTCCACTTGCTGGTACTGGACATGACATACAGCCAAAGCAGTGTGCTCAGTGCTTCATAGATTTGCTGGTGGTGACTTCTTGCCTCTCCCATTGTAGCGCATGAGAGTAGGGCAGAGTTCTACGAGAAATCTATATCAAATAAGACACTGCTGTGATAACATAAATAGGATCATACAACTGTTTCTTATGAAATTAAAATGTGACCAAATAATTCAGTGCACTTTCTCTTACAGGAAAAACCATCACTACCACCAGTAACCAGGTAATCCATTGCTACGATGTGTGCGTGTATTATTTAAAACTTGTCAGAAAATATATTTTCTCATCTAGATACTATATGTTTAATAATTATCTCTCTAGAAGATACAGTAATTCTCTATTTAGATTGTCTACACAAAAAATGGCATGCAATTCTATATAACTTTCAATAACCCAAACATAACACATTAAAAAGAAATACCTTTTATGGTACATTTTTGCATTTTTGAGGGGGTAGTGGAGGAGAAAGAGATTTCCTTTGTATTCACTGTTGTTAAATACAATTTTAATTATATGCTTAATATGAAGCTTAATTCGTGCTTCTTTACTAGGTTCACTAAGCCACTTCCATCTACACCTGCTCAGAACACAGAGATCTCCCACATGCATAGCAAGACTAGAGAGTCACCTAAGCTGGATACTTCCAGGTAAGTGAACAGCAGCTTATATCAATGGCAAATATTAGTGGAGACAAAATTTTCTCCTCTCTGTAGTGTAGCCCTCAGACAATAAGCAGTTGTTAGGACATAGCTAGGCACTGTAGGACAAGGTAAGAATTGAAACTTTTAATTTCCTTGGGAACTTCTGTATTCAAGCCAGTTTGCCAAATGTGTACTGTTTTCTTGAATATCACTTTAGGGATCCATTGCAGGGCTAAAACATCTCCTGAAGCCAGTTTAAAGTACTATTACCTATCTCTGCACCCTTGCAAATGAGATCTTTCTGCAGAGGATACAGCATAGGATTGCTTGTAAAGAAGCTGGACACAGTAAATTAATGATTTATATTCTAAGTCTCTGGAGGAAATGAAGCAAAGGAAACTTGAGTATGCAGCCTGTTTCACTCCTGTGTCCCACAAAGTGTAGGAAGCTGCTTTGTAACCACTGTCTCATCTCTGGGACATCAACCTAGGAAATAGGCCATGTGCCCCAGCAAGAGCAGGTGGCATCCATAATATTGTTTGTGTTATAGTGTTTGGTGAGGTCTTGTCCATGCTTGCAGGGGACCTGAGGTCCAGGACAGAAGCTCATTTAGAATAGTGCCGCAGTAAGGCTACAACATCACCACAACCACTGCAGCAGTGCATAGCTGTGGTCAAATCCATTTACTGCAGACCTCCTCCTCTCTAGATCTTGAAACACATACTGCCAAGCAATTAAGTAAATCTTACTCATTTTAACTTATTTTGTATATTTTCCAGAAATATTTTGCCTCTTCCCAGAAACCATCTTCATCCAAAAGCAGTGAGTAATTAATGTGCCACTATAAAAGAATCTGTTAAACTTAGGCTGTTCTGTGTTTTATATATATACATAGAGATGGATGGATGCTTTTTATTATCTGGATTAAATAACAGACACAGATGAGACTGAATGTCAGACTGATCTTATACTGTAATTGTGGCTATCAATCTTTTGGACAAAAGAGGTATATTCGACATCTGTATTGATTCAAGAAAGACTTTAAATGTTTTAAAGGATATGTGTGTCAGTCTACAAAAATAACTTCTTGTACTAAAAAAAAAAATAAATACCAGTTGAACCCCAAGAACCTTACATTCAGTAGCAGAGGGTGATTTTGCCCAATCTGAAGCACCTTCCTTAAGCTTTGTTCCTTTCAGATGACGAATCATTAATAATTTCTGAAAAATGAATCCTAATAAAATGTCAGACTGGATAGTCTGAATAACGAGTATCACTAGAAAATGCAGTCCATGAAGGAGTAATTACAAGCTTTGGGTTTTGAAGGCTCTGTTTAAGTCATCCCTCTTCTTCTCATGTCCCACTCATGTCCTCAGTCTGTCCTTTCCACTGTGCTGGAACAAAGGTTTTCTAAAACACACTACTTGGAAAATTGTCTAACTGCAGTAAATGGGCAAAAGCAAATGCATAAAAGGTTCTTTTTCAGCCTGACTAGTTTCATAAATTGTTCTTCACCATAGCTCTACTAACAGTTGTGCAAGCACAAGAGAGGTTGCCCATGAGGAGGAAACTACCAAGAAACAGTGTGACAGTAGCTGCACCAGCATCTGTGCCTAAAGCTATGTGGATCAAACTCTGTCCCAGCCCAGTGCTCTGAATTGTCATTAAAAAAATAAATCAGTCTGCCAGCAACTACATAAAGAAATTAGATGCGTAAAATTAGGAATCTGGGCTTGTACTGTAACATTAGATGCTATGGTAACATAACACAAGTAGCATAAGAACATCTTACAGTCCTACTTTCAATCCTTAAATTTCTATATATACTGAGTATTTCAGGGGAAGAGAGCAGGGGGATGACAACTTGCACACATCTACATATAACAGCAGCAGCATTTTAGTTTACTTTCACAGGGTTCTTCTAATTTAGATCTGTATCCTGTAAGATGCTGAACAATTCCTGGGTGGTGCCAAGTTCAGGATTTCTCTTTTATGAAATGGTTTGATTTCTCAGCTTTTCTTACCAATAAAAGATTAGGAAAAAATCCTTTTGAAAGGACAATGTTGAACAGAAATTCTACTCTCTGATCAGCACTAACAAGAATACTCCTGCTTTGAAACAGACTGAAGTGTCATATTGCAGCTGAAGCCTCTCCATTAATTCATTCTGAGAGCTTAACTCTGACACAGATATCATCCTAGCTTTGCAGAGAATCCAGAAAGACTATTGTTTTGCTGGAGCCACACACTGAGTTAGTTACAGCACCAAGGATGGAGCTCCCAAACAAACACTCCTACATACAATGGGTGTACTCAACTTCTGGGTATTTGCAGTTACCCAGTTTAGCACAAGAGTCAGCCTAGGAAAGAACTACTCAGTGTAGCCCAAATGTTGGAGTCTTTGCTTCTCATGTAAGTGGCCAGCCCTTTCAGTTCTAAAGAAAAACATGGTAATCAGCATGACATTTGTAAAGTACTGTGCTGTGCCTTACCATCTGTGACTAGGCCCAGTGACAATGCAAAACAGTAACAGAAACATGTTAACTGCTTCCATTCAATCCATTCTCAACACTAACCAGCACTTACCATGTTAACAGAACTGTAACCCTTGTTTCGCTCAAAGGCTTAGGTTGACTGGAAGAAAAAACTTTTCACATCTCACTCCCTCAACTTTTGGAGGATGGATTACACCTCTCCAACCAAAGAATGGATGCATTTGTAACCAACATCAGTGAAAAGCCATTAACCTGCCTGACTGATGGATGAAGATGGACAAATTAATAACTGGTGCCTCTTTGTCATATGGAAGTCTGATTCCCTATAAGATAAAGAGTGAGAGCCAAAATAAAGCATCTCCAAAAGAAGCTGGGAAATGAGTTGGATTGCTTCCATGCTAGCATGTACCAGCACCTGAAGGGGTGGCCTACAAGAAAGCTTGAGAGGGACTGTTTACAAGGACGTGTAGTAATAGAACAAGAGGTAATGGTTTTAAACTAGAGCAGGGTAGATTTAGATTAGACATGAAGAAGAAGTTCTTTACTATAAGAGTGGTGAAACACTGGAACAGGTTGCCCAGTGAGGTGGTGGAGGCACCATCCCTGGAGACATTCAGGGTCAGGCTTGATGGGGCTCTGAGCAACCTGATCTAGTTGAAGATGTCCCTGCTCACTGCAGGGGGGTTGGACTAGATGACCCTTAAAGGTCCCTTCCAGCCCAACACATTCTGTGATTCTATGGTGAAAAGTCAGTCCACTCAGTATCCTCTGTTCAGTGGAAAATGTATTCTTAGTATAATCAAATCTGCCGCAAAATTGCTGTGTTACAGCTCAGAAATGAAACATGAACCAAAAGGTCTCACTGCAAAATTCAGGGCCAATTTTCTCAATACTACAAGCAATCCCAAGGTTATTAGAATGTTCAAAATTAGGTTGATATTTGCTAAAATTTGTCAAATGCTGTAATAAAAGCTTATTAAAAGTACCCTGGATATTATATGCATTCTGTACAAATATCTATTTAAACATTACTACAGATTACTAAAACCAGATTATGTATTTCTGTACTTTCCATGTAGTAATATTCCTTTTTTAATTGCTTCTCATTTAATCTAACATTTTTCTATTACAGGACCATGAAGCAAACAATAATGATGAAAGTAAGTATCCTGTACTGAAAACACAGCAATATGAGTAGGATTTGTTGCCAATATGTCGCTGGTGACCTTAATATAGCATGTAGTGGAGTGTGTCAGTGTCACTTTTATCTGCAACAGTCAGCAATAAGAAAGAAACGTTACTGAACTGTTCTCTAGTATAATCGGAGTGTAAACACATCAAGACAAAAATTAAACCTATTGATATCTTTTCTTTCATTGCATTAATACTGAAATGGTAATGAGGAAAACCCACTGTTCAGATACAGCTAACACAGCATACTAAGTATGTCATTTGCATCTCTAGACCATAGCTTCAGTAACACACAAGAATCCAGATTTCCCACTGGAGTAGCTCCATCTCCATTACCAAGGGGCATGTAAGTAAAAACAATAATAAAACTACTTCTTGGGGATGGGGTTAATTACTATGTGTATTAGGAGCTCACTTCTATCTTTGCCTATGGCAATCAGAACTCAGTAATTTTTATTGCTGTTCAATTTTATTGCTGACTATGTAAAGGCAAGCTATTCTTTCATTACTTCTGGAGGAATACTGCTTGTATGCCAGTACACAACTGCCTGCCACTGATGGCAGATGCTTCTTAATTTAGTCACATACTGAAGCAGTATCATGTATGTGCCTACAAATATAGAGTTGTGTTTTTGATTAAAGCTCTTCTGCCTCACCCAAGTTGTCACCTTAAGCACTGGGCAGAGTGTATTTTCTTGCATATCATAAGCACCTTTTCCTGAGTACCCACACTACATCTGGTACCCTTATTCCTTTTTTTAAAATTCTTTTTTGTTTGGTTGGTTTGAGTTTTTTGTTTGATTGGGTATTTTTTTTTTAAACTGTTACAGCTATCCAGTAGATGTATCGTATCTTGGCCAGAAGTATCTCAGGAATCGATGAACCTGATGCTTAGTTGCTAAATGAATTAATGTATCTGCTAAGTAACCATGCTGTTTTTTCTTTTTCCTCCAACCTGCAGAAAGAAAACTTCTAATGCAGTAAATTCACCAGTAAGTTGACTTATAATTGCATAATCAAATGATGAATTTACAGGTGATTTTCAATTTATTGTAAAACTTAATTTTATCATTAGTTTGGGTACAACATAAATACATTAAAAGAATAGGGGAAAGAGGGAATTATAAAGAAAGGAAATACATGGGTGCAGTTATATGAACTAAGCAGCAGTGAGAAAGCTCTCAAGTAGAAAAATAATTAGAAATATGTTTGGGTTCAATACTTTAGGAAGTAACAATAAACACAGTGCAGAATTAAATAAAATGAGAAATAAATGGGAAAACAGGCCATTCAGAAGTATTCTCTGAAATATACATGGCTGTATATGGGGAACACAGATTCATGTAAGAGTGATAGCTCAAGATGCAGAATTTGTCAAGAGTTTTTTCAGTAAGTCTTTCATCATTAGAAAAATGTCCCAATATCTCCTGTGGAAGAAAGTGAGAGAACTGGTTAAAATTTACTAAGAAACTAATTTGAAAAATGTTTCAAAACTGAGAGTTTATTATCATTGTTCCAAAATGAAATTAATTGAAACTGGAAGGCTACACGTGTTCTTTACTGTCAGCTACACTGATAGTTTAACTTTCAGTAGAGAAATGTTTTCAGACATTTGTGAACATAACTTGACAAAGATGAAAATACTTAAATTTTGATCCACAGATATTTGGGATGGACTCTTCATTTTTGGACTTGAGATAAGAATGAACCATTTGCTACACCACAAAAATTACTGACAGGAATATAAAAAAAAAGTAATTAACCAGGCATCTCTAGATCTTACTTTTGTCCATCTATTTATACAGACAAAGTAGGATTCTTTCCAAATCTACTTTGCAAAATCCCAAGCTTCAAGGTCATACAACCAGAGGTTCTTCACAGAATGGCTATTTCCTTATGTCCTAATCCCTCTAGGATACCATCAATTCTAAATGTAAACTAGTTCACAAAACTATAAAAAGATAAACATTTGCTGTATAAATGATATGCAATTTAATATTTGACTTCCTTTTGTGTTATTGCAGAAACCGTGTTTACCTTCCAGACAGACCTTAACTGCAAATGAAGGTAAATAATCTCTGCTACTGTGAAAAAGTTGACATTTATCAGAATTTATTTTTCTTTTATTAAAAACATTGAACAAGCAACACTACATTCAATTTATTCTAGGTTTTTGAGAGGGGGTTGGTTTTAGCAGTTTTGGACTGGATCTGGCCAGCCTTACTTGCGCTGATAATCATTATTCTCTAAAAGCAGTCACAGTAAAACTATCAAGGTTACTGGCAGGGGTAACATAGGACAACATAATGGACCAGCAATGTGCCATATATTCGTCAAAGTGGAGAAGGGGGAAAAGGAAGTGAAGTGTGAGCACTCCATTCTGACCCACCTCACACAGACCTGACTCCTGGCAAGAGCCAGTCCCTTGCACAGGCAGAAAATGGCTCTCGCCTCTGTGCAAGGCGGCAGCTCCTCCAGGCAAAAACTCAGCAGGAGCTGCTGTCTAACACAAGAGTGAGATGCAGCCAGCCCCACACCTCCTCTGGCTGAGCTCTTGAAGGCAGCCTGCCCCAGTGTCCTCCCCTGTTATCACACAGCTCACTGCTTGGAAGGCAAGTTTCTTGCTGAACTCCTGCAGGCATTTACAGCACAGCCATTTGCCTAGAAATATGGTGGTATGCCACTAGCCAATAGAAAAGCAGCACAACGGCAAGCTGCCATGTAAGGGGGGGGGGGGGGCCGGGGAACACAAGACAACAACAGCAACAGCAACAAAAAAAACCCCACAACCAACCAACCAAAATTGTGATAAGAAAAGAAACCTTTCAACTACTAGGATTCTCTTATCTGCGACCACATATTTCTGAAGAAATCTTGACTCTACCATTTGTTTTCCCAAACTACAGAAAAACCTACAGCAGCAGAACGACGACGAGGTTCCACCCAAGAGCTTCCACTTCCGCCCCTTCCAAGTGGTGCCCAAAAGTAAAATCCTTTTTCATCATCTTTTGAATATTCAATACACCAGCTCCTACTGCTCAATTTGAACACAGCTGTGGGAAGTTCAAAGGGAAATGCTATTTTCTCTGTAGCCTTCTGTTGCTTTTTGAAAGTTACGCTTCTTGAAGCCTCACAGTAGCAAAAAATAAAACATGGCAAATGAATCCAAATACTATAACCACTACCAAAAAGCATGGATGGATGTAATCTCTAATTAGGTGATGGAAATTTAAAACGGATGTTTAAATTCAAAATTGTCAATACTAGTGGGATATGGTTTGGTTTTTTTTAAATACCTGTATCTGGCCCTTTTTTCTCAATGGATAAATGAATGGAACACATTCTACCACTGCATGCTTCAAATACACAATTTGAATATTTTCAGAGCTGGGTGGATGTCAGACCTTTCTGTAATCTGTTGATATTTATTTCAGGCTTTTGCTCCAAAAGTCCTCAGTTCTGTCAAGTAAGTATAATTCAGATTTTGAATTAAAATGTGATTAACTTGTAATTTAAAATTAATCTTTGAATTAAGATTATTTCAAGATGCCCTGCCTATTCATTAGTTTTAAATTCGCATTTGTCTCTTTAGTGCATACAAAGAAGAGATCAAGTATCTGAACTACTATGCAGGGGCTACACTAAGCAGGAGCTTAGCTCAGTTAATAAAATTAAGGGAGTATGTCAGGGTTATTGTATAAATCGATGGAAATTAGGTGCTTCATTCCCATTTGTGACTACTGGAAATTTCTACCAAAGGCAGTTTGGGCCAGTTTCCACCATAACAAAGATTCCACCAATCTTCTTTGCCACAGAAGAACCCTAAATATGGCATTTCTGGGCTGTTCCAGGCTTCTGCTGTCTAGAAACCACACAGATTATTATTGTATCCAGCAATTTAGTCTTTCTGTACAGAGGGGAAAAAATAAGGTTTTTTTATAATGGCAAATGCTTAAGCTCTCCTGTAAGTAATACTTTCAAAGAGGGACTTAGTTTCAATTAACAGTTAAAAACAAATTATGTAATATGTATATGAACTCTCTTTGCACAGAAGTGTAAATTAGATCTAACATTTTCTAGTCTTTTGTTAGCAGATACTTGTCTGACCTTCCTACAAGCCCTTTTCTGCACGTGTTTCAGTCTGAACATGTATTTTACACTGTAAATGGATGAAGAGAATTGCATATAGAAATCTGCATCTGTTGTAGCTTAAACTTTACGGGCTGTTATTAGTACTTCTCTCTATTTGCTGAAAATATTTGCTGGATGTATGTTGCAATTCTATCTCCTGTGCTATGAAAGTATAATAATGCTTCATATTCATACAGTAGACTGATGCTCTCAAATTTGTCTGTTTCTGTCGCACAACTGATGTGCTTCAACTCGTAGCATAAATTCTTACTAATCCCTAAAGTGTAACTATTCTTTGAGGTCATCTAGTGCTAAATGATGCTCTGATTAGTAAATTCTCTTTAACACACTCTTATCCCATGCCAGGCCCAATAACAACTTATCAATACAATTGGTCCCAATCACTAATGTCCCTTCAGCATAGCCTGCTATCTCTTCCTTGTCACCATACAAGCCTAGTGCTAACTTTCACCTTCTTCATTAAAAGTACTAATTTCTCATATGGCACAGTGTCAAATGCTCTACTGAAGTCCAGAGTAAGTACAGTACCATATTCCCTCTTTGTGGAACTCTTTATGAAAGAGATGTAACATTTTATCTACTTGGGTAAGTTTCAGATTTTCTTCTGCTTGTACCTTTATTGTACTTCCAAATCTTAATGTTCTTTCCTTCAAGTTCTCTCCTAGAGCCTTGTGTTCTGTGGAGTCAGACAAAAAGGCCTGTAGTTGCTCAGCTCACTTTTTTTTCATTTTAAGTACAGCAATTATGTTTGATATTCTTTAATCATATGGTACCACCCTGACTTAAATTTATTTAAAATAATTGTTACCAGCCCTGTAATTTCATGTGCTGGTTCTTAAAATTTCTGGGATAAAGATTATCTGGGCCCACCAGTTCAATTGTACTAAGCCATTTGAGTTTTGTTTCCAATTTAGTTGTGGAAATTTCCATTTCTGTACCTGCACTACTATTGGTTTCCTACTTAGATTATCTTCAAAATTAGTAAGTCTTACTGCAGACAGCCTCATTTCTCTTTCCTTTTTACACAGCTAAGGAATCTCTTATTACTTATTTTAATTTCCTTTTGTAAGGTCTAATTCAAGCTGACTTCTAGCAATTGTTACTTTATTCAGACAGCGTACTTTTCAGCTGTAGCTTTTGCAGCTGGTCAGTAAAAACTGGACAGTAAAAACCGAAATTGTTAATATTGAATAGCCTCTTCAGGTGATTATTCATTCATTGTGAGCTGGAACTGCTCCTTATAATGTCACCCCTATACCTGGAATGTAGCTTCCAGACAGTTACATCTTTACTGCAAAAGAAGTTCTAAACCTATTTCATGCAGGTGTCTTTGAGCTCTGCAGTCCAACAGAATTTTTTAATTCTGAGTCACTGTATGACCTCCTCTATAACATTCTTGCTGCTTTCTGAAACCAAAATCTAAATCACAATTCTATTACTGAAGTCTAATATGAATAATATATAGACTTGATAAAGCAGTCTGCAAAGTATCATGTCCAGGAATAGGTGAGTGCTTAAAAAATTTTAATATTTATTTTCTTGCACTTTAAGTCTAGGTCTGGTTGTTAATCAAACTGTTATTAACCAAACTGCCACTCTCTTCATAATCTTCATAAGCAAGGCTCTTCTTTTGAGCAGGCAGGTGTCCCAGGCATTTATATAGAGCCCATTCATTTACAGTAGATAACTTTCTTGAGTGATACCAAAGGTCAAGCATTTCCAGATCTCCCAAAGTCCTTATAACAAATCAATTTCTTACAGCATGACAAACATACTTTGGAAACTTATACATGTTGTTCTTTCTCTTTTCCAGAAGTGCCAGAAGCTGCAAACCGTTCACTGGGTACTTCCCCTCACAGCAGCATTTCATCTATTTCAATTACTGCAGACCAGGTATAATATTAGCTATATTCACATTACAGAAACTTTCTTATCCTTTACTTTAAAATAGTGTTTCTGCCCCTACTCCCTTTCTAAATAAAAATCATGCTTCTTTGTGGAGGGCATTGGCATTATACCAAACCTTGGCACTCTACCAGTTGCTTTAAACAAAAGCCCTAAAAAGCTTCTTCGTTTCCCAAACTTAGTTTTACTAGACTCCCCAGTTCTTAATACTTGACATCTTTTGAAACAAGGAAATCTGCGGTGATGTACTTAAATCTGGTCTTTGATATAGATGGCTTTAAAGAGTTTTCAATTGCCTACTTTTTTTCTAGCTTACAGCTGTACATACTGTGTCCTGAAAAAAAAAATAATGTGCAGGAAGCAGATACAATGAAGCCATCTGCAGCTATTAGCATTAGCCTGCACTGATGTGATGTACTAAGAAATCCCAGAAATTTGTAGGAGGAAACAGGGATGCTCTGCTGACTGGCCCAACACAGCAGGATGCAGACAGTAGAATCATTTTATGAACGCTGTCTTATTTATTGCAGTTTGGGGTGTCAGCAAAGTTTTAAGAACAGAGAAGAAAGTCACTGCTGCCCCTCTCGGAGGACACTGTGATGCATCCCCCTACATGTTTTAGTCTCAACTCCTGCTCCTTTCCATTCCTTTAAATGGACCTCTTCTCACTACAGTTCACAGAATCATAGAATGGTTTGGGTTGGAAGGGACCTTAAAGATCATCCAGTCCAACCCCGCTGCCATGGACACCTCCTACTGGACCAGGTTGCCCAAAGCCCTGTTGGGTTCCCTGGCCTTGAACACTTCCAGGGAGGGGGCATCCACAGTTTCTCTGGGCAACCTGTGCCAGTGCCTCACTGCCCTCACAGTAAATAATTTCTCCCTAATATCTAGTCTAAATCTACCCTCTTCCAGTTTAAAACCATTACCCCTTGTCCTATGGCTGCCTGCTCCTGTAAAAAGTCCCTCCCCAGCTTTCTTGTAGGACCCCTTCAGGAACTTCAGTTAATGCTGTCAGTTCTATGACCAATTCTTTTTTTCTGTGTTTCGTTGCAACATTAAGCTTTGAATAATCCACGCAAATGCAAAGTTATTTTCATTTCACCGCTATTCCCCTTACTCTCATTTTGGATGAAGGGAGACTACAAAACACAGGAAGCAATTCTTATTAGCCTAGTAGCCATAGACAGGGTAAAAATAGTTCTGTTGAGTGCAAAACAAAGGCTGTATTATGCAGAGCCCATAACATTAAATGTTCTAAAGCCTGACATGACAAAGATAATACAACCGTGAAGAACATGAAGGACTTGGAATTCTGGGACAATTTTAACAGTATGTCATACTGGATATTTATTATAAAAATTGCTTTCAAATAAACAATCCAGAGGACACTAAATAAACAGCTTGTAACAATTACATCTGGAGCTTTTATGTAAAAGCCATGGGCAAAACACAGCCTTAACAAAACTTTTTTTTTTTAAATGGAACTGCTTCTTAATACTATTTTCCCACCAATTATTTTCAGTTGCATCATTTGCTGTAGCATCCTGTGTAGCTTGCACACATGATTCGTAATTCACGTGCCCATAAGGTTCATTATTTTTTTGGTTCCCATCCAAATGTTAGCAGCACCTGTCTGCTGCTATGTTATAGGCCACAGATAGTGCTAGAAGAAAGGTCTGTGGTAGTTGTTTCCTTGCTCTGTAGAACAGATTGATTTTTCCAGACTCATTCTCTAAGTGGCTGAGTAGCTTGCAGGCTTGCAATTCCTCTCATTCTATCTTTTTGCAATGAATAGTGTGACTGGAGAAATACATGGGAGAACTTTGCAGGTGACGTTTTATGTTATGGCTTTGAGCCACTCTAAGAATGTAGTGCAATGCCCACAAAATGGAGGCTTTGCTCTCTCCTCACTCTGAACTGCCCTCTCAGCCACAGGCTTCTCTCGTGTTCCTCAGATCCTGCAGTGGGCTGAGCCAGCTCTTTAAACTGACTGCTGGGTTGGTTTTCTGTCAAACACAAAATGAGACAAAAACAAAATTTTTGTTAATACTAACAATCTTTGGTGCCATCATGCAGCACATCCAGAACAATCACAAGATCAGGACCAGTTAACGTGGGTCTATGAAAGGCAGATCCTGCTTGACTAACCTGATCTCCTTTCTATGACAAGGTTATCTGCTTAGTGGATGAGGGAAAGGCTGTGGATGTTGTCTATCTGGACTTCAGTAAAGCCTTTGCACTGTTTGCCACAGCACTCTGCTGGAGAAAATTGCTGCCCGTGGTCTGGATAGGCATACTCTTTGCTGGGTAAAAAAAACCCAACAAAACAAAACAAAAAAAAACCCAAAAATAAATTAAAAATAAAATAAAAAAAAAACCAGCTGGATGGCTGGGCCCAAAGTGGTGGTGAATGGAGTTAAATCCAGTTGGAGGCCAGTCCAAGTTGTGTTCCCCATGGCTCAGTGTTAGGACCAGTTCTGATAAACAACCTTATCAACAACCTGGATGAGGGGATTCAGTGCACCCTCAGTAAGTTTGCAGATGACACTAAGCTGGGTGGGAGTGTTGATCTGCTTGGGGGTAGACAGGCTTTACAGAGGGACCTGGATAGGCTGAATCAATGGGCTGAGGCCAATTTTATAAGGTTCAACTATGCCAAGTGCCAGCTCATGTGCTTGTTCACAACAAGCCCTTGCAACACTACAGGCTTGGGGATGAGTGGCTGGAATGCTGCGTGACCGAGAGGAGTCTGGGAGTACTGGTCAACAGTGGACTGAATATGAGCTAGCAGCGTGCCTGGTGGCCAAGAAGGCCAATAACATCCTGGCTTGTACCAGAAATAGTGTGATCAGCAGGACCAAGGAAGTGATCCTTCCCCTGTACTCAGCACTGATGAGGCTTCACCTTGAGTCTGGAGCACAAAGCTTATGAGGAGTGGCTGACGGAACTGGGGTTGTTTAGCCTGGAGGAGGCTGAGGGGAGACCTTATCACCCTCTACAACTCCCTGAAAGGCGGTTGTAGCAAGGTGGGGGTCAGTCTCTTCTCCCAAGTAACACACAACGGGATGAGAGCAATCGGCCTCAAGTTGCACCAAAAGAGCTTTAGATTAGATATTAGGAAAAATGTCTTCACTGAAAGGGTTAGGCATTGGAATGGGCTGCCCAGGGAAGTGGCTGAGTCACCATCCCCTGAGGTATTTAAAAGACAGGTAGATGATGTGCTTAGAGACATGATTTAGTCCAACCATGGACAGGCTATGGTTGGACTCAATGATCTTAAAGGTCTTTTGCAACCAAATGATTCTATGATTCTTTGAAAAAAGGCAACCATTTTTTTTATTTTTCTGCAAGTTTACCAAAGTGAATTATCTTACTATGGGATCAGATGAGCAACAAAATGAGCACAAGATAAAAACTAAGATATTATTCTTTTTTTTTTTTCCCCCAGCAATGAACCAGCTGGATAAGCTCAGCTATAACGTGCAACTTGATCTTTAATCTATTTTGTACAGAGGTGACAAAGCTTCTATAAAAATGAATTTTATAATTTAAGCTTGTTACTATAAATTTAGAGCAAAACTGTTCAAATGACCAGGAAGGTTAATACCCAGAAGTACTCATTAGGAAATACTCTCAGCACTATTTCTATAGCCTCTCCACTCACTTAGGTTAGCTTTTGCATCAACCTTCTCAGCAAGTGCTCACTTTTTATGATTGCTGGTTTTATAGTGGCTGGAGAGCAGCCTGGAGGAGAAGGACCTGTGTGTGTTGATTGACAGTTGGCTGAATAAGAGCTGGCAGTGTGCCCAGGTGGCCAACCAAGCCAATGGCATCCTAACTTGTATTAGGAGTAGTGTGGCCAGCAGAAGCAGGGAAGTGATCCTTCTGCTGTATTTCACACTGGTGAGGCTGCACCTCAAATACTGTGTTCAGTTTTGGGCCCCTCACTACAAGAAGGACATAGAGATGCTGGAGCATGTCCAGAGAAGGGCAACAAAGCTGCTGAAGGATTTAGAGCACAAGTCTTATGAGGAGCAGCTGAAGGACCTGGGCTTGTTTACCTTGGATAAAAGGAGACTGGAGACCTTACCACCCTCTACAACAGCTACCTGAAATGAGGTTGTAGCAAAGTGGGGGTCAGTCTCTTCTCCCTGATAGCTAGTGAGAGGACAAGGGGAAATGGCCTCAAGTTGTGCCAGGGGAGGTTTATGTTGGATATTAGGGAGAATTTCTTTATTGCAAGGGTTCTCAAGCACTGGAAGAGGCTGCCCAGGGAGGCAGTGAAGTCATCATCCCTGTAGGTGTTTAAAAGATGAGTACATGTTGTGCTTAGGAACATGGTCTAGTGGCAGACTTAGGACTGGTTCAATTATTGGACTCTATTTTAAAGGTCTTTTCCAACCACAACCATTATATGATTCTATGAAAACTTAGTAGTTAGTTTTCTAGCTACTGAAGTTGGATAATGCGTAAGTCTCATGTTGCTTCTAATCTCTCATCCCATTCTTCGAGTATCATTTCTTTTCATACTTCTCTAAAATCCCCCTTACCTTTCCTCTAAGCTCCACTCCTGTTCCCAAATCTATACTCAATCCTGCATCATCTTATTACCCAGTTTCCTACCACTCTCTCTCTTACTAAAATTATATTCTCGTACCACTCACTCCGAAGTGCCATCACCTCCTCGCATCTTTTTAACTTTGCCCTTCTCTTGCTATGAGAGCTTTTATCTTTTAAACCAGAATCCACCCATCTTTAGCATGCCAATCTTTCTACCTTGTATCTTCAGGTCTGCACCTGTGACCCCATCCATGAAGTCCTTTGTCCCATGTTTTCCCCTGGAAGAACAGGCTAAGTTCATTTACTGTACAGAACACTGCCAAGCATTTAACAGAATGGAGGAGGATGATCTCTTTGACATGTTCACAGGGGATAAAATACAGAAATGAGGCACTCAAGAGATATGTTCTAAAATAAAAGCCACTCTTGCATTCTGTCACAGATGTAATCCTTCTCCACAGTAAACATGGTTTTATGAGATAAAACTTTTAGATAAGACCACTGTTCTAAATGGAAGGATATATTCAGACTCACTCCAACAGATAAATGGAACTGAATCAATATCTCATGTCTCAGGTGAAAGCACTGGGACTGAACTGCTGTATTAGTAGAGGAAAGACATTAATTTTTCTTCTGTTTTGTAGGACTCCATCCATTTGTCCTTATTTATTAACAACAAAAACAGCTAAAGATGCTTTTCTCCAACCTGCCTGCTATCCAGATGGAGGCAACTGTGATCATGCTCACAAATAGCATTTAGTATATGGGAAAATTCATTCCCAAAGCTTAGATGCCTAAAAAATCTGGACACTTCATGGGCCAGCCCACAGCTGAGCAGCATTTAAATTGTTAATGGTCAACTTTATCCTCAATTCCTGGGTACCCTCTTTAAATTCTACTAGAATAGCTTCCTGCTTTAAAAAACAAACAAACCCCCCCCCCAAAAAACAAACAAAAAACCCAAAACAAAACAAAAAACCAACACAAAACAAAACAAAACCAAACCAACCAACCAAACTCTCCTCCAGTTGAACCTGACTACATTCCTCAGGGTATCTTCCTCTTTTCTGTCTTGTATCAGCATTCTGTCTTACATCCATTACCACTGTTTTGACACACTAGTTTTTTTTGTCCTACCTCTGTCCAATACAAACAGTGAGCTCCTGGCACAGAATTTTCTAAAGCATTGTTGAGTTCTTTGCAGCTGTTATTATTTAGCAGTAACTCCCCTACAGGCCATATTCTTTACTATTGTCATTATTATTTTACAGATGAAATGCTATTTCTCTCTTTCTAGGATGCTGGTGTTCATAGTAAAGCATGGTATGTGGCTACCTGTGATCGGAAAACAGCAGAAGATGCATTGTACCGATCAAACAAGGTAGGTCACTTCTAAATAATCTCTGCTTTATGAAAAAACTTCAAATAAAAAAAATCAAAAGGCAACCAGAAATTTTCCATCCGTTATGTTCTGAACAGGTCAGAATACTGTACCATGCAAATACTCCCATACATACTGTCAAACATTCAATTATTGTGGTGAAACTATTTAACTGTTTTCAAACAACACTACTCTGCCTTTAGGTGTTTTGAGAATTTGAGTTCTCTCAACTATTCTGTGTACAAAAGCTAGTGTCACAGAAGGCAACAGTATCATGTAGAGTTGCATTCTCAGCATCAGGTGCTTTTCCACTCTTGCCTAACTCCATAAAGCCAGAAAAGGAGGCAGAGCACTGGGGTTATCACCAGTGTAGGCTAGCTAGTGAGCACTGGGATACAGTGGTGCAGATCTTTATCCAAGTGCTTTTTACAGCTCTGGAGGAACAGTGCCCCCACTTCTCACTGCTTTCTTGCCTACCTATTGCCACTGATAGTTTTTCTTTCTTTTCTTTAATTTCTTCTTTCTCTGGTTGAGAGAGAACAGGCGGCAGCAAAAACTACTTTTAAATCATACCTTTGTATGCTACTGTTGGACAAGAGGAATGCATGCTACTTCTCATCTCCTGCTGTACTGTTTTTGTAATGGGAGAAAAGGGTTTAATGCTAAAACAGATTAAAATATTAAGCTAACAAAACTAAGATGTTGGAAAAAATAAGCTGAATACACTTACTACTTTTCTGTCTTTAGGATGGATCTTTTCTGATAAGAAAGAGTTCTGGACAGGATTCACGGCAACCATACACACTGGTTGTGTTTTACAACAGAAGAGTATACAACATTCCTATACGATTTATTGAATCAACAAGACAATATGCCCTAGGCAGAGAAAAAAACGGTGAAGAGGTGAGATGATGTGGGGTTTGTTGTTTTTTATAACAGTTTTCAGTTTTATACCTTTAATAAGCATTAAGATATATTGCATTGTGAGGAAAGGACTCTTCATGTATCAAGATAAAAGTGTATCCTATACAACAAATGACTGATCTATCAAGCTCAAGAAACCAGTGTAACATCAGCTCCTGCACAGTGCGAGTAATCAAAGCCACAGATAAAGTTTTAAATATACTCATAGAACTATTTTGAAAAGTTATCAGTAATGGAGCTGCAGCTGCTAGACAAATTCTTCTGCTGTTTATAGTCCTCTATTCACCTTCTACCTAAGACTCTAGTTAAGTTTCTTGGAAAATCATAAAGAAAGAACAGCCATGCTAAAAAACAAACCAACCAAACAAAAAACACATCTCTGAAAAATGAGAATGACAGTACTTTCAAGAAACTAGTTGGCTATTATACCACACAGATAATTACTCTTACAGCAAAGCAGAAACTTGGAACCCAAATACCAACAAAAACTGTTTGTTATCACTGCACAGGGTAGGCTTTTCAGGGATGTGAAAGTAGGCTTATCTTAGCCTAATTATCTGCCTCCTAGGCAATGGTTTTGAGGTTACAGAATAAATAACAGCCTGGAGCTTGTTTGGCCTTCAATAACCAGTCCTGTAAAACAACCTCTGTGGTTCAGTTTGTGAAAGTGGCAACCACAAATGGAAAGGGGCATGAGATAAGACAGCTAGTAGCCATAGTATCTTCCATTGACTAAATTTAAATTGTTTGACTAGAATCAGGACTAAGAACAGGATTAGTGCTCTTACTAAACGGCAGAGCATCTCACTTGGTAACAGTCATAGCTCCACTCCCTTCAATGGTTGGAAAAACAAAGAGGAAAAGATGATGCAGTGATTACTGTAAATGAGAGCATTAAAGGAAACCAGCTGTAATTAATCTTTGTTTTCTCTATCCAGCGCTTTGACAGTGTTGCTGAAATAGTAGAGAATCATCAGCGTACCTCCCTCGTTCTAATTGACAGCCAAAACAATACAAAAGACTCAACAAGACTGAAACACATTGTAAGAGTTTCTTAATCAAACTGAACTGCTAAAATAAAGACTTTTTAAAAAGAATTTATTTCAACATCCCAAAACATGTGGATCAGGTATTAAGAGAAGGAAATCCAAAATGAAGGAATACTCTTTAAAAAGAGCACCTACTGAGTAGCAAGAGATGCAGCTCAAGCTCAACCCCATGTCACTTTTATCACAAGAGCACTTGTATTTAACACAAGAAGCCAAAGCAGATCACTCTCATCCCTGATTCCCATCTGTGACAACATGGGTATTCAAAGTCATGTGAAGAACAACTGCATACCACCACCTGGTCCTTTGAATGCTATGTAAAAATAGATTTCCTCTTGGACATTTTCACTTCAAAAAGGAGAACACCCACAATTATCTACTCTCTTCATTTGTTGTTTACCACAGATCACTGCTTTCAGCCATTTAAGTGCACAGCCCCAGAAATCAGAGCAACTCTACCTAATCTACTGTTGTGTACAAGCTGAAAACAGGACTGTACTTCATGTGATTAGTGGCAATAAAACTGTCTGAATGTTTTAGATGAATGGACATTTTGTCCATTTCCTTGTCTTTACTCTGCTTCATTAATATTTTTGTTTGTATCTTCAAATGTGCAAATAAAATTTAAAATATTAAGTCAATAGTATATGGAGGCATTGCTAGATCACATTTCTTAGCATCCTTCTAGGAAGAAAACATCAATTAACTATCATCAATATTTCAATGTATATATTTGTAGGTGTTCTTTCACAGTATCTGTTATGGGTAATATATAAGCTGAATTAAATGTAAGCTTTTGTTAAGCATATAAGCTTGGCTTAATACCTCTCAGATCTTTTCTTGAAATTGTCTGCTGTTGGTGACCCAAGCGCACTGCTTCGTTGCTAAACCAATTACGTGCTCAATTCTTGCAGAATTATTGTTTACAGACACAGACACACAAATTTTTCTCAAGCCTGTTCTATCACAGTGGTTAACTTAGTGTATTATTGGAAACAAAGTAACTTCCAAAGGTTAAAGCAGTGTGGACTAGGATTATCTGACAAGCATTTAGGCAAGATTGCACCAAGACTTGCAAAGTCTCAGCAAGACACTTAGAGCTATGTTGCAGCTGTAGTCTGCAACTACTTCCTTGTAGTTTTGATCAATTACTTCTACAAGTAAAGCACCTGTCTTACAGAAAGAACTGCTTATTAATATGGTGAAGATGTTCAGCACATGGCTCCCTACCTTGCTGCATCTCAGTTTCTTCCCTCCGTAACACAGATACTACTTACCCTAGATGTGAAGCAAATGAGACACTGGCAAATAAGAAACAACGTATACAGACTTTACACAAGCCTATGACACTATTCACAGTACTACATAAATGCTATGTTTAGTTTATCCTTCAGTTGGTATTTATTAGTATTATACTAATGCAACACTTACTTTGTACTAGTGTAATGTTTAGAACATTAAAATTGTTAAGGCAAGGCCTCAAAGTTAACAAAAGGTATTCATCTCTGCAAGCTTAATTTACTCCTTCTACATCTTTACTCTGATATTATTTAGTTACATGAAACTTCACTTTAGGTTACTATTTAAAGCAATACTCACAATGGAAAATACTCTGAAAAAGCAGCCAGTTGATATTTAGCTTTCTTTGCATTCATGTAGAGTCCTTATTCACTCAGGTACTGCACAGTATTTGAACTTTGTTCTTAACAAAACTGTTTTCTTGTTAATGTTTGTATGTTGCTCCTCACAAAAGTGTCTAGATTCTTCAAACTTTGAGTTACATGTGTAATATCACCATCATTCTACAACTGGGGGGAAAAAAGGCATGAGAAAGTGAAAATCATGCATACCTACAGACTTCCATTTTAGAGACTAAATATCAGTTTTTAAGGTAATTACCAATACTGTGCCCTTTCCATACTCAAAGCACTGCTGGCCCTCAGCTCTAAGTGCTCAGCACTACATGTAACTTTATGGCTATCTACAAATATGCTCTAGATAAACATTCAACTGCTTTCATCCTCAAACCCTTCTTTCCTTTGTAGCCATATTCTCCATCATTGCAGGGCTACCTTACAGTTTTGACAACAAAATGAGGCAGGGATTTGACAGGCAACATCATCTTCCACAAAATAATCCATTCATCCTGAGAACACCCTAGGCACAAAATTTTTCCCATGGGGGAAAAAAACAAAACCAACAAGCCGACCAGTATGTCATCACGTATTTTACTCTACTCACAGATCTACACAGGGAAAAAGGATGCACACTAGATACTCTGGTTTCCATACCCGAGCTAGATCTTCTATGGCTTGGGCAGATTGTGGTGTAGACATATTTTGAGACACAATTTTAGCTGAAAAGAAAGGTTTGAGAAATGAAAAATACAAGCTTTCATTTCACAAGGATATAAAATAAATTAGCACTCAAGATGGAGCCCACTATGTTAAAAATCCTGATGCTATTGACTCAGCAGCCAACACAGAATCTAGGAACTGTTAACTTGGTGCAATCCTATACCTGAAACTTCCTCTTAAAACTGCTGAAGTGCCAGCAGCTGCCACTAATTAATGCTGTCTAGGTAGCAGGTATGTTAAGTCTGACTTCTGACAGACATAGCAACACACCTCTCTCCCTATATTTCTTTAATATTGTTAGTGAATTTGTCTTCCATATAATTGTAATTGAGTGAATAGTAAGGATTTAAAAAAAAAAAAGATGACCTAAAAAATTTGCTTTAAAATTAAGTCAAAACAAAGCAAGCAGCATTATTTTACTCAGGGCAAAGTATCATATTTACTAAGGTACAAAAGGTCTTAAAGTGTTGTCTGCCTACCTGATATGAAAAGGAGAGTACAGTGAGTACTGCAAATCATTCCTAACAATCTTGTTCCATGAAAGGAGTAAGAACTTGCATTCTCAAAAATCCAAGTGTTCAGACATTAAGTTAAAAAACTACATTCCTCCTTCAATCTAAACCACCAGCAGCAGGCAGAGATTCTTAGGAAGTATAGTTAAAAAAACCCAAACATGTCTTGCATGACAACAGCCCTGGAACAAATATTAAACGCAAGGTTTTTGTTAAAAGACTGGAATTACTAAGGAAGAGAAACCATAACTTATTGATGAATACACATCTTGCCAAGAATACAGTACGGAATAGATTTTAGGCCTCTTTAAGGCCACCTAAAGTTGTCACTCTCCTGGTTCATCAATAAAGAGAAAACCCCCTAACTCTACAGCAGAACTTTCACCTCAGTGCTAAGCAGCATGTAACACAGGTCATTCTCAGTGAAGTTGCACCAAGTTGGTTTTAGCAACAAATTTCACAGATATTTCTGCCAAAGGTGGCAATGGCAATGTCCAGAGTTCAGGGGTTCGATTTCACAGTTTATAGGAGAGCAAGCTGAGGCAGCCAATACATCCTTACAGTCAAAAAAGCTTAACGCAATTTTGTCCTTTCCCAAGGCAATCTAACACACTTCCTCACCACTTCAGTAGACTTCTTCAAAGTTCTTAGCCAAATTCACATCGGAGCTCAAGCCCATTGTGCAGCACAAAATGATCTGATTTTGATACAGAACACACACCAGCTGTATATTAATTCACCCAAACGATGCTGCCTTGACTGTCTCAAGTACTTCAGTTGACTCCCAAACATAACTCACCAGCTACAAGGCTAGTGTGCATCTTCCAGCCAACAGACACATCAAGGGAAAAAAGAACACATCTAGCTACTGAAGTAAATTTTTTAATAATCATTTTCATTATAACTAAGTGATTTAAGTGACCCACTCCTCTCCCAAGTCCATTCAATTCTGAGTTTTTCCATCAATACTTTGGGAAGCTGACTTATCTTTAAAATGTAATCAGCCAGTACCTGGGCAAAAGGTGCCATATGGCAACAGCACTCCCACTGAAGCCTCTGGGTTCATTAAGAATCCAGAGGACAAAGCAACAGTAAGGACCTTCATTTGTATACTCTCAGTCACTACAGATAAGCTCTTTACTCAAATAAACATAAGAAATGTGAAACATTCTCCTTTCATCATTATCTTTTAACTGTAAGTAGGAAGCAAGCAGGCTCCTAGGAATACTACCCTACTGGCCTACAGTAAAATGAAGGAGGAGTAACTCAAGCCTTGGTTTTGACAAACTCCTGGTACCCTAAAAGGCTGTTCACCTGAATAGAAAAAAAATAGTAAAAAACACTATCTAGTCAATATGGGTACAAATCACATCCACCTGAAACAGAACCATAGTGCAGCTACAGGCCTAAAATGGTGCTTTGCACTTCACCATATCCTGGCCTTCCTAGAGGGTCTGTGGCAGAAAAAGTATAAAACAAAACAGAAATATTTTCTATAAATGCTCACAGTCATATTCTGTAAACACAAGTTATAGCAAATTTAATAGTGACAGAGTCAATACAGATTAGGAATGTTCACCATTCTTAAACACCATATACATTATGAATAGATATACTGTATATTTTCAACTGATTCCATTCTCAGGCTCATTGCATTAACACAATCGTAATATGTTTTATTAATTTATATGAAAAATACTTCACTAAGAAAGTAGACAAACTGCACAGATATAGTACAAGTGTCATGTGCATAGCAATACAGCTTAAAGCATTCACATATGGCTTTGTTTAAATTAAACTACTGGGGAAATGGCCCTATATGGGCCTATGGTTATACAGCTGACATAATGTAAACTGCTTCACATCTTTTAGGCACTTGCTAACAATAGTGTTCGATCCCTGAAAAACAGAATCAAGAGATAACAAGTGAAAGTAACAAAAATCCCAGGGTAACAGCTGTGTGTACTTAAAAAAAAATTAAAAATTGTTTTTAGTAGTGCATGCACAGAAATGAAGAATAGGAGGAGGGGGGCAATTTCTGTGCAAGAATTATTCCAAATAAGTATAAAAATATTTACATGTTTAGGTTTTTAAAAAATATGTACAGAACAAAAGCCCTGAAGACTCATTCTATAGAATAAAAATATAGGACATGATAGTAGTAACAAAAAATAATACATATTTTTATGAAACAGTATTTGCAGTTAGTTACAAGCTATCTAAACCACAAAGCTCCTTGACCTTTCTCAAAGCTTGATGGCAACAAAGAATCTGCTCTTCCTTTTAAAATACTAGCACTTTGCATCATTT